CCCCCACCCTAGAGCACCCCATCACCTCCCTGCCCCTGTGCCCCCCACCCCGGGGCACCCCATCGCCTCCCTGCCCCTGTGCCAGGTGCCCCATCGCCTCCCTGTCCCTGTGCCCTGCTCATCAGGGCACTCCCATCACCCCCGTCTCTGTGCCCAGTGATCACCAGTCCCCAGGGCACTCCCATCACTCCTGTGCTCCTCACCGTTCCATTGCTCCCCATCCCTGTGCCCAGCACGCTGGGACACCACCGTGCAGCAGGGCACCCTCATGCCCTGCGTGCTGGGGTCCCCCCAGCCTCCCTGCACCCCGGGGCGTGCGCTGCCGGACCCACCGATGTGCCGTGCTCCCCGCCTGCCCTGGGGGTGGTCCCTGGGTGGGTGCTGGCCCCTGCTTGTAGGGGGGATCAGTGTTCTCCAGCACAGCCAGGGCAGCGCCTGGCTCCTGTCCTCTGTGCAGGTAACTGGGTCGCACTCGCGTTTGTCCTCAATTTAGTGTTGAGACGCTGTGTGTTACAGGCAGATGCCATCCGGGGGGGACCCTTGGAGGTACTAAGCGGTGGCAGTCTGACACTGAGCTCAGGGTCAGCCTGGTTGGAGAAAAACTATTTCGCAAGGCATTTATTTCCTAAATTGGATTACACGCATATTTTCCTTTACATGGGGGGACACCGCTAACTGAAAGGCCTTGCATCGGGATTGTAGCCCTATGCTTTGCAAACAGCACCAGCGGCAGAAAGAAGAGCAAAGAAGAAATGTTTCTTTCTATTTTGTCAGGTTACTTGGTGTGTTTGACAGCGCTCTGTGTATAATCAGGTTCCCTATTTCCTCCTTGCTCTCAGCTCCTCATTGTCTGGGTTTCCTCACAGAATTCAGGAGAGCAAAACATTTTAGCAAATTAAGAAAAAAGCGTGTTTGTTTTTTTTTTTAAGCTCACAATAATTGGGAGCTTTTAGTAGCTGAGCTTGTTTGTTTTGTCTTGTCGATTTGATTACAAGTCGATGGCGACTTGGCATTCGTGTGTGGTGCTGAGAGCAGCCGTGTCCTGAGCGGGTGCTGTGGGGCAGAGGTGCACCTTCACCCGCCACCAAAGCACCTGGTGCTCGTGTCCGCAGAAAAAAAGACTCAATGCATGAAATTCAGGGCTTGAGGGAGAAGTAGCACCTGGGTGAAACGGGTAGTCTTTCCCTCTCTAAACTGAGAGAAATTTGAAAGGGGAAAAAAAGGCACAAATCAGTAGTCTTGTACTTCTATCCTGGCTTCCCCAAGGCACCTTGTTTTTGTCAGGCTCTGAGGAAAGCCTGCTGCTGCCAGGAGAGAAGAGGTGGCTTTTTTCTTTAGGTTTCATGACTGTGAAGAACATCCTGCAGACGGGTGCTGGCTGTAATCATGGCATGGTTATGCCGTGAACAGCATCCGTGTAACCAAGTAACTCTGCCCACTTGTCTTCATGGGTTACTAAACCTTGAACTTGGTGATTTCCCTCTGTTTCAAGTGTGGCATTGTGCATTTACCTTGTGAAACTGCAGGGACTCTGTGGGCATTTGTGCAAATTGCCAAATGAATGAAGACCAACATATTTCTGTTGTCCTGGGCCGCTTTTCTCCAGCAGAAGGCTGAATGCAACTCTGACAATACTGCTGCATCGTTGTCGCCTGTCTTCAGGTCTTGGCCTCTCCTCAGGCTTCTTCCTGCTAGTGAGATGGAGGCAATCATCTGGCTTTTTTACTTGGAAGATCTGGCTATGTGCCAGAAGGAAACCCAGTTGTCTGGTGCCAAGCACATCAAGAGTAGCATTCTTGATCCAAGCTGTTCTTAATTATCCCCATAGTATACTAAACCTGAATTTTTGATCCCCCTTTTTCTTTTGTGTCCTGCTAGCTTACTTCTGCTGAAGAATAGCTGCTCCGTTTCACACTCTGGTTTGGATGTGCCAACAGGAGCCTGCAGCGCTGCCTTTGCAGTTGACCAGGAGGTTATTTGTAGAAGAGGAGGTATATTTTAAAGCAGGGCTTTGGTCAGTATGAGAAGATCCACCCAGGAGTGCTCCAGCAGCGTTCTGCCGGTGGGGCTGTCCTACGGGGCTGGTTGCAGCTCTCCGCGCGAGCGAAGGCTTGCAGAACTGGACCTGCAGCTTTGCGGTGCCTCCGTGTGATTTATGTGAAAGGGTTCCCATAGGCATGATGGTAATTTTATGGTAGTGTGTGAAGTAGTGTGATCTGCTGCTTTCTAGTAGCTGCTTGTGCCCTCCGCTCCCCAGCAGCTGGAGAACGGTGCTCTCCTCTCTCCCAAGGGCACGTGCAGCGTTTGCAACCTCTTCTTGGTGAAAGGTGATTGATGAAAAAGGTGTTCATGGAGTCTTAGTTTTGCTTGCTTCACACTGGAGATGCAGGAGTAATGAGTGTTTAGAGTGTCTTTAAAATGCCATGGATTATATGGGTGCTCCCCATCAGGAAGGTAGCGTCCCAGTTGTCCAGGAGAAATTTTAAAATGACAAGAGGAACCTGCGATGGGAAGATGAGGTGGTTGCTTCTGTTGCGCTGTTCCTTCATGCTGTGATCTGTTATGGCGTTTCACTGTCCTTCCTGGTGCTGTTTGCTGAGTGAGCTCTCATCAGGAACCGTCCTCAGCTCACTGCTTGGAAAAGATCAGACCGCTAGATTTTACTGCAGCACGTAATTCTGAGTTCAGAGCTTTACAGTTTTGTTTTGCAAAGATCTTGAAGAAAAGTGAAAAGCAACCTAAGAACCCCCCACCTTTCCTTTTCTCCCTTAATCCACAAGCTATAACATACAACCCTGGCATGCCATTTGTTTTATTCGTGGGTTCCTTGTCATAAAGGAATGGTAGGGAGGAGTGGTCATAAAAATCCCCCCTTTTCGCTATTTTTTTTTCCCATAATCAGGTTGTTATACCTGTCTTTACATCGGGCTTAATCTGCCAGTCACACGCTGCTGGCCAGGTTGTCTCCCTAGATGAG